ATCATTTATTATAGATCTAGGGTCATGATAGATGGTACACTGGACTAATGTTATGTAAAAATTGTGTACTAATTCTAGTTTTATCTGAGATCTGACATAGAATTTCACAAGATAAATGGACATAGCTCGTGAGACTTATGGATTTTGATGACAGATAGGTCAATCTGAAAATTAATTTCATTGATATGAATCAAATGAAAAATAAAAAACATAAATAAAATAAAATGAAGAAATGTAAAAGAATTTTTTGGGTTGAAAATTGTTTTTATTCAGAAAATAGAAAAAATAAGAAATGACGGGAAAAAATGCATGTACTGAATCATTGCCATTTTTAAAAATATGCAAAATTGGTATCGATTTTGCTTTTAGTTGACATCTTGTAAGCATGACATCTTGAAAGCTTACAAAAAAGAAGTAAATTAAATGAGAAGTCAATGATATGAAAATTTTAATTTTGGTGTACGTAAAATAAAAACTTATAATTTTTGACTTCTATGAGGTCTACAGGATTTGTTTGTCGAGGTCAAAGAACTAATTGTTTACCTTTCTTTATAAGGGACTCATTGAATATTGTTCCTTTCTAGCAGCTGAATGGTCATGTTAAATTCACATTTTGTACATCAATAATTGTATAGAATTTACAGATAAACACCTGTAACAAACATCTGTAGCAAAAAAGTACCTACTTAATGGAGTTATATTCTGTGACATTTGTAGTCATTTAAAAAAAATCAATTTGATGTATTTTACAAACAGGTTTAAATTTGTCCATCATCATAACTTCATTGTGGTTCCATTTTGAGTATCTCTCTCTTCAATTTTATAATATACCAGTATATACCGGTTTCTCGATCATGTTTTATTCTTTTTTTCACAATTATAATAAGATTTTGACCACAAATCTGCAGGAATAAAACTGCACAAAAGCATTTTAGCTGTGCACAGTAAATTATAAAGCTCATGTGCAGATTACTGGAAGTAATTCTTGCTGTTTTTGGAAACTGTGTTTTACAGTATGGCTATGCACCTGACAAAAGGATGTGTTGACCCCAGAAGCCCAAGATTATAATTTTGATAATCTGAAATCTTAAACTGATGTAAGTTCAGAGGCTGTGTTATGTACTGGTATTATCTTGACATGAAATCCACTTCTTTCAACATACAGTTTAACCTCTTGTGGACTGTGAAGATCTTCGAAGTTTTGAAAATAATCTAAATATCAGATATTAATTTAGTCGTTAATAATTCAAAATATCTGCATTGATCTGCATTGATAGCTAAAAAACTGAGCGAGAAGCTTTGCATCTTTAAATTTTTCAAAACAATATACCCCCGGGATCTTTCGATCCCGGGGCATAAAAAACGTCAAATCTGAGACATGTATTCCTAAAAAAAAGAGAAGTGTCAGATTAAGGAAGTACGGGTTACTGTAAACCAATTTTTTATTCTCAACAACTTGCAAATGGACAGTTTGAAATCTATCAACGACGGATAATTTTTCAAAACTGAGGAAATTTACATGAATACAATGTACATAAGAGAAAAATAGTTAGCAGTGAGAACTATTCACACTAGCAAAGTAAGATTGTGAAATTCACATATATATTTCTCGCACACAAAATTTTTTGACACAATGTGCTCTCCTAAAGAAGATAGAGTTGAATTCATTGACATTTATTTCTTCTAATATACATTCTATAGGGGACTTTTGGTAAAGTACAGTATATTAAATCTATATATTTGTACTTTTGTCTCTTTTTACCTTACAAGCCCTGGATTTATTGCATAACACTTTCAGTTGCAGAAAAAAATGAAGAATTTATTATTCTTTGAAGCATTTGAAGATGTATTTGCACAAGTATTTTGTTATTTATGGCAAAAATTCAAAATCCTGATTATCTTATGTTTGTATGTTTTGAAAAAACAGTACAAGTATTTTTCTAGAAAAGAATTTTGTTGGTTTTAACACCTGTAACATCATTAGTTTTTTTAAAGAACCAATGTAATGCAAGCTTTGCAAGACTGCAAGCTAAAGATGTTAATAGAGCTAAAAAAAAAAAAAATAAACATAAACCCTGAGTGATTGAGTGTGAAATAGGATTTCAATCTACTTGAGAATTAGCAAAAGTGACTGGTTTTGTGTTTAAATATTTGATTGCACTCAAAATAGAGAAATCCTAATCTTTCAAGTTCAAATGTAAATAATGTACATCAAATAATTGTAGGCAGGCTTTGAATATTAAAGATAGAGGTAAACAAGCAGAAAACAGTTAATTTGTATGTGGTATTGATATTCACATGGTGTGTATGTTTGTTTGCTGAATAGTGTATAATAGTGTTTCATTTGAAAAGACAAACATTCCATTAAGAGAAAATTTGAAGTATATTATTAGCTGAACTAAGCTGGAGGCTGAAGTCAGCTTTTTGGATCGAAATTTGTCCATTGTCTGTCAACTTTGTTTTTGTAATAGATGTAAACTTTTCACATTTTCATCATCTTCTTCAAAAACACTGGACCAATTTCAACCAAACTTGGCACAGAGTATCTTAGGAGAAGGGGATTGATTCAAGTTTGTTCGAATGAAGGGCCACACCCTTTTCCAAGGGAAGATAATCAAGAAATAGTGAAAATTGGGTGGGGGCATTTAAAAATCTTCTTCTCAAGAACTACTGGGCCAGAAAAGATGACACTTATGTGAAAGCTTCCTGACATAGTGTAGATTCAATTTTTTTCAAACCATGACCCCCAGGGGAAGGGTGAGGAAACAATGGGTGATGAAAGTTTTACATAAGAATACATAGAAAAAAAACATTAAAATCTTCTTCTCAAGAACATGCAGCAAAGCCATGGTTAGTCATATTTATGTGGAAGCATCTTTAGGTAGTGTAGATTCAAATTTGTTCAAATCATAACCCCCTGGGGTAGGGCTTGGCCACAGTGGGTGATCGAAGTTTTATATAGGAATGCATGAGAAAAATCTTTTTAAATCTTCTTTTCAAGAACAGTAAAGCCATGATTACTCATATTTATAATGATCATCCTCAAGTTGTTTAGATTCAAGTAACTTGAATCAAGTTTGTTCAAAATCATGACATCCAGGGGTAGGGTGTGACTGCAATGAATGGGCAATAAATGTTGTACATATAGCATGAAAACGTTCCTGAAAATTATGGCCATATTACGAGAATGGTGATGAATTGAATGGCAATAATTTGTGAAATTGACTGCAAATACAAATCATCTCAAGAAGTGATGAGGAGCTCCAGCTAGTCATACTGAAATGTAAAGCAGTCCCATGGCATTTAATGTAGATGCTGAAGTTTGTTCAAATCATATGGCACGTTTTATAAACTGATCAAGGCTTTCATTTTTGTGAGCAATGCTGTCCATGGGCCTAGCTCTTGTTAGTAGGTTCCAGAAATCCTTAGCATAAAATATTTAAATAGGAAGGAAATAAGATTGTGACTGAGATTTGTTAGTGGTGCACTTTTGTCTATACATACATTCAATTTGTAGCTATAAATAGCATTACAGATGTTTGCACAAAGATTAAAAAACAGGAAACAAACTTGCAGCAGAAGACAATTCTTCACTCTGAGATGGGGGAAGTTCTGTATGTCACAGTGTTTTATATCTGATCAAGTCAAGGTCAGAGTATAAGCCATCTTTGCCATCTAAATGTAATATAAGTATTAGTATTTGTAACTCCAGTGTTTTATTATCTTTATTAATTCAAATTGTTGCTTTGAACTATGAGATGGCATTGAAATCTTCATGACTTTTATTGATAAGAAGAGAAACAATTTATTGTTCCTTTTTAGCATAGTAGTTCATCCGGTATTAGAAATACATACCCAATATATATCCTTGCCTTAATAATTCTTACAGTAAATTTTAATCACTTTTGCATATTGAACATTTATTGAATTATGGAAAATAGAAATAATGCCCAGAATTCATTCCTTGCAGAAAAAAATTTTGAATATTAAATAAAGTGCAAGTTTACTTGTGGTGTATTCTATCTGATAAAATAAATCTTAGACAGATAGTTAGAAGGTCTTATCATCACATCGTAGCTTCTACTCGACATATGGGGGTCCCGACCTCTCACAATTCGAACTCTGTCCTCTTATCATAGTGTTATCATGTAATAGCACTCGAAATGTCAAATAAATATTTCTGTTCGACAGAAATTTTCAATTATTAAACTGAATATTCTAGCTTTGACTTTTTTTTACCCATTGTTATTGACCAACACGATCCATATCTCCTAAGACTGCGTACTCCATATTGTCATGAAAGACTAGGATGGCAATCCGACTTTTTTCTACGACATAATTTGGTAGCTAAGGTTTTTCTGTTTTGATTACATTGGTGTAATCAGGAAAGAACATCTTTATTATTGCTGTTAGTATTTGGTGTGGGTTTTTTTCCCCCTTGATTCACAGATAGCGTGTCTGTTTGGACAAAAGATACCTACATCTAACAATAGTATGATATATGAAGTTAAAACTGCATATTTGTAAGAGAAATTTAACAAAAACTAAAATAATTCAAATGAAATTTATGATTGAGACAATTTACTATGCATTTTTATCTTTATTGCATGGATAGAAACTTTTTATAAAAACAATATTTCACTGCATATTAGAGCAATTTGATGCATGTATTGATGGAGACACTGATTGAGTTATGTTTTTAACTTTGTTGTGCAGGCTATGATATTTATTATCAATGTTCAGGAAGGATATTTTATAAGCAATAATTGTCTCGTTGAGGAAGCAGAGTCTCTCTGTTTATGACTTAGGAACTGGCTGCTCGAGATTTTCTCCTGACTGATGCGAGATGCAAACTTTTGATGCAATTATATTTTACTCTTATCACAATCTTTTGCCTGAACTAGAGTAGGAAATATATTTGCATTGTGTAAGGGATGGTAAAAAAAAAGAGGAGGAAGGGAGGGAAAAAAAACTGTTTCTATTGTTAATTTTAAAAATTTAACTGGCATACTATATTGCTGTAGATAATTGAAAACATCATATGTAAATTGCGAGAAGGTGATGAGGTAATTGTTTTCTCACCTGAGACTCCTTGATGAAAATTTTGTGGAGAGCCAAAGATTTAAGAGGAAGAAGAGCTTACAAGAAGTGTTTGCGGCATTAATGGATCAATACACAAAAGATTAACTCGGAAGAAAGTCATTGAAAATATATACTTTTTCCCGACACTTTTTCGAAGCAGGGTTAAACATCTGATTGTAGGATAATGAACTCTCACATGGATATTTAACACAGAGAAGAGGATGTTTTTTAATGGCTGTTGTTTCAAAGAGGGGGATTAGAGATTGCAGTATTGATATTTAACCATGTATTTGCTGAATATATAGTTAGTCTCTAAGAAGAATTCCTTGTGTGGATGTAAGATGTTTACAAACGGGCAATATCTTATTCTGCAGGATTGAGAATATTTATGATCACAAAGAAACTGTTACCTGTATATCATTCTTTGTAAGACTCTTCCAAAAAAAAAAATTCCTCGCATACAAATCAATAACGACAAAATGCTGAAAAATCAACATGTTTTTGCACTTCGTCATAAACTATTGTCATCAGAGTGGCACAGTGTAATTAAATATGAGACTGTATGTGCTGAAAGAAAAAATGGGTGGAAAATAGCAGTATTTGGCAGTTAAATCCTGTTTTGTTTTGTTTTTTCTTTTTTGAGTTGTGTTTGGTTGGAGATTTTGTGCATCAGCGAGATAGCTGATTGATACACAGTGGTCACAAACCCTCAGGTGTCTCATTGCGATAATATTAGATAAAAGTGGGACACTTATTTCAGTTTTTGGGGGGCAGTTTTGTGTTGCCTGGTATTGATCTATGGTTTTAAAAATCGAAGAGATTTTTTTATGAAGAAAGACTTTATTTTATTGTGTGGGAGATCGGATGACTTCTCTTTAGAAAAAAAAATATTGCGTAATTTCCTTGTTTAGTCATGGAGTCAAGTGAAAATGGAGATAAAGGATTGAACAGAGAAACAGTGATTGGCAGTGGAGATAATGAGACTCATGTGGAAGACACAGAGAGTTCCACTTTGTTATCCACTTCCACACCTGGAAGTGGAGAGGAGGAGGGTGGAAATTTAGTGCATGGAAGTGGAGGGTTTAGGAGCAAATTCCAGGTCACCCCAGCTATTGTTGTTCATGAGGTGGGAATAGATCAAAATGGTAAACCATACAAAGTGGATATTGATGATGAGCATGGTAAATAATCCTTTAATAATCTTGTGAATAGTAATGATAAATAGGGGAGGAGGTTTGGGGGAAAAGGGGGGGTTAATACATGTATACTATGATATATTGTGTAAGGCAAATACTGTTTTGAAAATATTATAGATGATAAAGGTGTTATCTCTATGGCATGAGGAAGTTGAGGGTACAAAATATGTATATATTGCAATACAGTAAGATATTTGGATGGCTGTAAAAATTTTACTTATTTTGATCGAATAAAAAAAAACCAGTTGCCATTTTGGCAAATTTGAGCATCTATAATAAACAAACCCAGATGAGATCTTGACATGTTCAAGAATTTATTCAGTTGTCTCAAAGTACATGAAATGGGCAATAAGTTGTTAACAAAATAAAATTCGCAGATATTGAAAATGGAATTGATTTTCTATTTTATTTAGACAGGCGAAATAGAAACAGATCTCTAATAAAAAGTATGTTCTCATATTGCATGTACATGTTATATGCTGAGATGCTTTGTGAAGTTTTGAGATATGCAGTGACCTGTGACCAAGTTGCAACATATATATGTCATTGTGAACTGTGTAATAGATACCAGAAAAGTGTTCTGTCTATGTACACTTTCAAGACATTTAAAAGATGACAACAATAAAACTACAGAGCTTTTTTAAAGAAATTTATTATGATTTGTTTCATAAAGAAAAAATGCAGTGCAGTTTTTGTTGTAAACAATTTTGTTGCACTGTGGAAAAAAAACCTCCAATCAGTTTAATGAGCTGACTGCTTTTGACATCAATATCTTCAGTTTAAAACCCAGTGTGTAAAAATGTTTTCTTTTTTTTTTTTTTTCCAATTCATCGATTGTTTTGACTAGGAACATTGTAATTCGATCAGTGAAATATAAACATGCAGATTTTATATATCTTGTTAACTTCAGATGTCTCAACTCAGTAAGATGTACAGGGTTTACGTGGAATGTTTTGAGAGCTAGAGTAGCACTGGTTATGTCATATACAATGTACCTGGTATAGAGGTCTATTGAGACATAGAAAAATGCACTTTTCATAGGGATAAACTATAGTCTTTAAATTTGATTTAAGCAGATGAATGCATGCACTTTTAGGTGATAAAAAAGATAAACAATGCAAAGTCTTTAAGATTCCAGTAATTAGTGCTTCAGATGATATGACAAATTGTATATGATATTTAGTGCAATCAAATCTGTTTTTCTTTTATTTCTGTTTGTTTGTTTTTGTGTTTGTATTTTTGTCTGATAAAGCAGATGAAAATAATAGGGAAAAGCTTGCAGTCTTTATTCCAGTTTAGCCAAAGAGAAATCTGGAAGGTTCAGGAATTGTGTATTGCAATGTTTGTTGTTGCCAAGAACTAATTGCCTTGGAGAACACACAGTGTTTGTACTAAATGCAGAAAGCAGATTGGAGGCTTGATTTAAGCAAGCTTAAATCTTGTTAATTTGTCATTTCTGTATGTTATGTTGCACTCAGTGTGAAAATTATGAATTATAAACATGTAATCAAAGCTGATATTTTATTGATCTTATCTGCATGGTCAAATTTGTGAGGTCCTCTAAAATGATTTTCAGATTAGAATTTTGATGTTTATATTTAGGATCGTTTTTGGAATTGGAAAATGTAGTATTCTCATTAGTTGCAGCAAATGCTTAGACGATCATGTCTGCCAAAGTGTAACCTTATTGAAGTCATATTGCTAAGTGACATTCTTATTAAAGTCTCAGATATTGAGCAAATATTTAATATGAAATGTGTAGACAAATCATTTTTCAAAGCATTCAGGTAAATACGTCTTTCTCTGTTGCATAACAGCATTTATTTGAGTAGTGATGTAGCTGAATTCTGCCTATTGCTGCTCATTATTTGTGTCATTATCAAGAGATTAAAGATGAGCAAAATATGACTTTCATGTTCAATACATTTAAATGCCATGTTGTTCCCTCCTTTGAAATTATTGAAATTAATTTTTATTGCATAAACTTTAGATTGCTCTTTAAAGTGTTCTCTGCTAACAATCATTGAAAAAACCCACTCTGGAACTTTGAAAATTTTTAATATATATTAATATGTAATATTTTTGAATAGTTAATTGTTAGTAATGTAATCTTTATTTGTATAGAAAATTAATTTATTTTTTAAATTGGTATGTAAGGTGTTCTGTAATTCAAAATATTATGCATATTGTATTTGTATTTACCAGAGTGCTTCCATTTTATTATTATCAAATATCAAAAAGCATTAACATCCCCTTGTTGGCATATACCATCAAAAGACAAATTTTATCCCACAATGATTTGCTAACAGGATTCTAGCTTAGAAAATCTTTCTTTCAAATTCAGTTCTGTTTCTTTCAAATTTGAAATAATTTATATTGAATAATAAATTCAAGTCATTCATATACTGGCAAGTCCCAGCTATAATTTGAAACTGAAGGGAAAAAAACTTGGCTTAATGGATCAAGATGGACTTTTTATTGATAAGTAGTAAGTACTTGCACTAAGATAATTAACAGTAATATTAATTTTAAAAAAAGCAAGACTCACATACGCAGTACAGTTAAGGTGCCAAATGGAAATATCGGCGAATTTTTTAGATAGAAAATACATTCTTTACAAGGATGGGCATTTCTTTTTAGGACTTTACTATTATCGGACAAATTCAATGTGGTTGAAAACTACATGTTGAGGACGATTAGATTTCTTATTTAGACTTATCACGTGATGTGGCAGTCACGTGATTTTAGCAAATATGCCTGAAGTATTGAGGTCATCTATAAATTCTAATATTGCAAGGGCATAACCAAGTTAAAAATCTAAGTTTAACACATAATTATTTTCAACACTCTTTGTAGTTTGTGAAAAGTGCTGTGAACCTATATTCTACTATCTAATTGCTAAAATTACATTTGTTAGACCGTATGTTGAATATTTTGCTGGTCAAGTACATTAAATATAAATATAATTAATTCATTTGCAAGATTTCAACAGGTTCGCAGCACTTTTCAAATATCTTCATACTTTTGAGTTTATGTGTAAAAGCTTGTCATAATTCATTGAGGGTATGCCCTTGCAATATATCGATTTATTACGACTTATCTATTACCTTTCAATGAATACGACAGTATTGCTTGTCTAGGGAATATACAGGAAGTATATGAATAAAATCATAAAATTGACATCGCATCCAAGTTAATGGCCTCTTATATATCTATAATTTATATTTTATTTTATTATAAAATACATTTTTCATTGTATAAATATAACTTGATCCGCCTCTCACTGCATACAAATTGCGTCAAATTTTACGATATGACATCACATTGACAAGTGCATTGCAATCAGTGAATTGTTTATATATTGCTGTGTGGGATGTAACCAATGACAATAATGCATGCACTAGTTAGTATTGATGTAGTTTAAAGCTATTCAACAGTTTAAAATAGCAAATCACTTCATTTTGTGGTAATTTGAAGAACTTATATTTTTGTGTGATGTCATAGACAGTAAGCATTTCCCGTATAAATTAGGCCCCGCCTCCTTACTGCAGCCTTAACTGTGCTGCGTAAGCATATTATAATAAAAGAAATTACTAATAGATTTGTTTTAGTAATTGACTATAGCAGAGTAGCAAGGGTATTTGATGTTTTAAACATTTTCTTTAATTACTGCATATAGGGTTATTTTCGCCCCATGTTATTTTCGCCCATTCACTTTTGCAAGCAATTTTGCCCCATTTTAAATTTGGCCAGTCACAATTCTGTTTAAGAAATTATAAATTATACCATATTCTTTGAATTTGCCCCGTTTTAAATTCACCCACCCCTGAGTAGGGCGAAAGGGGGAAAATAAAACGGGGGGCAAAAATTTCCCTGTATACAGTATTACAAAGAAAATATTTAAAACGTTAAGTAGCTGCAGGTCTGTAACTAACTGGTTTAGATTTTTTTTTCCTGACCAGTGATTAAGCTACAATGAGTTTTATGATCTGTAGCTAGTGGCAATTATGTTGAAAGTTTCCAAAAGAGGCAATATATTATATAAATTGACATATTTCCAATTCCTATGTATTGATATGTACTTAATAATGATTGATGATGGTCATTATAATGTTAATTTCAGTATAAATGTAACCTGGAATAATAAAATTATGTGCAATGTTAGGTCATAATTACATACCTGTCTACTCTCCTGATTTGCCAATAATTTATACGATTTTTGACAAAATTTTCTGCATATAAAAGATGAATCTTACATACAAATTGATAGGAAACTAAAGAAAACATCCAGTTTAAGGTAGCCAGGTCTTTCATGGTGTAAAAGGGAAGATTACTATTCTCTTTAGAAAAGTGGAAAAGATTTCGCCTACATCCACATCATGGATGTATTACATCCACATTGTGGATGTAGGCAAAAATCTGTCCACTTCTCTAAAGAGAATAGGAGGATTACCCAGTACATATACATATTCTTCATTATATTGGGGCTATCATCATAACCACAGTGCAAATAAAAGTGGTTTGAAGGATCGTTATTATGGTGATAATAAGATGATAGTTTGTTGAAATGATAGGTAAAAGTACTATCAAGGGTGTTTGACCACAGTAACAGTGCAGGTCGAACTGAAAATAAATATTGTTTACTATGGAGATCCCAGATCCCTTCACTGTAAAAGACATAATGAAAGAGGCAAGCTGAAAAAGAATTGTCTGTCTCTCCAGAGAATGCTGAGTTTACAGAACACTTTGCATTTTATTGATAGGTGGAACGGAAGTGCCTATCAGTCATTGGCTATAAAATTGTCTCTTTGCACTCCAACTGTGATGGAAACAATTGACAATCATAATGGAAAGCAATGATGGATCAACGCTTTCATTTTTCATTTGAAGAATAAAGATTTTTCAGTAAATAATGGTTATTGGAAGGGAATTAAATGACTAGCTTTTCATTTTGAAAGAGAGATTGTTTGAATTTGAACAGATTT